CTACTAGAAACAAGTGCCACGCTAGTAGTAACAGGTGCCTTACTAGTAGTAACAAGAAGCTACGAACGGGGCAGAGTATCCACCATGTCTCAGTCGTGTTTCACAGGCCGAGGCGCCCAAGAGCGAAGTGGTGCCGAAGAAGTTACTCGATGAAACGAATTGGGTAGGTCGCGAGTGGAAGTATTAGGTAGGTTAGCTAGGTAGGGAGAGGTAGCTAGTAGGAGCTAGGTAGCTACTACCTCCAAGCAAGCTACTACATATGGACCAATAAAAACCAAATGAGAGAAAAAAGCCTCCAACCCAAGAGCATTGGCCTCCAACCTAATAGCGAAGACCTCCAACCTAACAGGAATGCCCTCCAACCTAATAGCGATGGCCTCCAACCTAAGAGCAAAGGCCTCCAACCTTATAGCAATGGCCTCCAACCTAAGAGCACTGGCCTCCAACCTAATAGCAATGGCCTCAACCTAATAGCGATGGCCTCCACCCTACTAGCGATGGCCTCCACCCTACTAGCGATGGCCTCCACCCTACTAGCCATGGCCTCCACCCTACTAGCGATGGCCTCCAACCTAATAGCGATGGCCTCCAACCTAATAGGAATGGCCTCCAACCTACCAGCGATGGCCTCCAACGTAATAGGAATGGCCTCCAACCTACCAGCGATGGCCTCCAACCTACTGGCGACGTCCTCCACCCTACTAGCGATGGCCTCCATGCTACTAGGGATTAACTCCAACCTCCTAGCGCTGGCCTCCAACCTACTAGCGATGTCCTCCACCCTACTAGCCATGGCCTCCATGCTACTAGGGATTAACTCCAACCTCCTAGCGCTGGCCTCCAACCTACTAGCGATGTCCTCCACCCTACTAGCGATGGCCTCCATGCTACTAGGGATTAACTCCAACCTACTAGCGCTGGCCTCCAACCTAAGGGAATTATATTGAAAAAGAGCAAAAAGCCGCTTTAGGCTGACGAAGCGTTCTGCAAAGTTTGGAATGGAGATCTCAACTTTGGATGACTGGTGGCCATTCCACAATCCTGAAGTCTGAGTGTGCCACAATGATGAGACACTGACACTGGTCAAAAGATGTCAAAATGCCATACAGTCATGTAGCAAAACAAACACATGTGAAATACAGTAGGCATAAAAGATGCACATGGTTGTTTTCCATCTCGTAGATTGTGACAACCTTTTCCAAGCCGCATGATGGGATGTTCTCATCCAAAATCGTCGTCCATCCTGCTGAGGCCTGCAAAGCCCGCCCTGCGGCGCCGCACCACCTTTGCTGTTGCACCCCGCGGGATGGCGCCTGAACCGCAATGGCATCCAAAAACAGAAAGAGAAAAGAAAAAGGGTAAAAAAAGGATACAAAAAGAAGAAACCTAATAGCGATGGCCTCCAACCTGGCATTTTGCTTTGGGGGAAGCATGGAAGCGTTGAAGCTGATTTTGTTGTCATGGCCAAAGTTGGGATCTGCACTCCAGTAGACATGTCATGAATGTGGACTTGGGGAATGTAATTACTGCCTTTGCGCAATGCAACGAACTTTGCTGGGGCTACAAACAGCTGACTCAATGGAAAGCGTGTCAGCAAGGGAATTGCATGAACAGTCCAGTGCTGGGGTGTTTTTAGACCTTTAGACCTGTTTCGACCTGTTTTCGTCAACCTGTTTTCTGTTTTTGTCAACCAGTTTTCAGCGTGTTCGTGTGAAGAGTCAGGACGCCGAGACCTTGCCATTGAGCTCCTTGGCAAATCTAGGCGACTCCCCTGCACTGCGAACGACGCTGGAGAACATCGAAGTGACCAAACTGTCCAAATCACTTCGATGTTCTTGAAGGTGCTGATTCCAGCCTTAAATGCAACAAGAACATGTCCATTTTTTTGGATGTTCCGCAAGCAAGTAGTGACTCTGGGTGTGTTGCTCAGCGCCTCCGAGATCGCCAAATGAAGTCTGTACCATGGCTCTTCGGGGTCATTCTTTTTGAAGGGTTCTATTTCCAGACTCTTTTCTCTCTTTGATTGGAGGCAATCGCTATTTCATTCTTCAGATTGCTTCACCTTCCAGAGCAGGTCTGGTCATTCACATCAAGCCGAGGATTCCTCATTGGAGGAGACGCTTTGGTGGCGAAGGCAGCGAAGCGAGCTTGGTTCATCTCGATGATTCTCAAGATAGAAGCAAAGCAACCACAGATAAAGAGCTCCGAAACAGAAGGAAAAATAAGACGTTGAAGAATACATTTAAAAGATAGTTCTCCTAATAGAACAAAACCGACCGGTTTGCTGAGGGTTTGTTTACCGCTTGTGAGCGTTGTGTCGAAACGACAGGCCAAGCCATCAGGCGGCCAGTTGCTACGGCCAAGTTTGAGGAAAGGAACCCAGACGCTTGGCATCGCTCAGGGAGAAAAAGCACTTGTAGATTCATTGAATTGTTGAAAGACATTGTGTTTTCAACTATGTTTTATTTTAAATATTGTTGTTTTAAACTTTTATCAAGCTCAAGGACTTCAAGATCTTACAGGTTGCTTTCTTTGCTGGCGAAGCAATCTCAATGACACTGGATTGTGATTGTACGCAGCACACATATCGCCCAACCCAGAAATTGCATGGATCACCGTTCTAGGCTCCTGGCCTTACTACTCGGAGCAAGAAGCTACTAGGAACAAGTGCATCGCTTCTAGTAACAAGTGCCTTACTAGTAGTAACAAGAAGCTACGAACGGGGCTCCTGGCCTCGCTACGAACGGAGCGATCGCTACGATCGGACGTGTTCTGTGTGACCTGCCCGCTTCTGTTCGGTCGCGACCGATCCTCCGATCCAAGGACCCTCGAAGGCCCTGTCTCTGTGTGGCAACGAATCGACTGCGCAGGCAGGTGCTTTTGTTGCGCAGATGTGGCGTTCAGGTTCCGAAAGCCTCGGCTCTGGATGTTTCTACACTGTAGGCTGCTCAGTGTGGCTGTAGCTTCGACCATCCGCCAGGCCTTCCCACTGCAAAGCCTTCGGAGGGCGCCGTGACGGCGACTTGGAGAAAAGAGAGGAAGAGCTATAGAGCTACGGCGCCTCCTAGTAGCGATGGCCTCCACCCCAAGAGACGAGATGAGAATTGGAACAAAACCTAGCGGATACTACGGAGTCAGAGAGCTTGTTGGTACAGCATACCTCGTCGGGATGGAGAGACAAAGGCGTCCCGAACAAGCGAGAAGTAGAGAAACTGTGTCTTTTCATGGGGTGATTCCAAAATGTTCCGATCCTTCTGAAAGGTTTGGTTTGGAAGACACCACCCACTTCACCCCATTCGTTGCCACACCTTCCCTTGCAACGGAGCCAAGTGGACGATGTGTGCAATAAGTTCACGAGTGTGACATCTCAGAATAGATGATAATAGTTTTCAGTTGGTAAGACGCTGCCCCCCCACATTTTGAACAAAACAAAAGCAAAAACAACAATAGTTTCAGCTAACCACTTGACCACTTGCAGGTCCTTTGCTTCTGCGAGAGCCATGACCCGGCAGATCGCTATGAGCTCTTGGCCGTGGGCTGCAAGAGCGGTGCCGAACTCGGAAGAATGGAGAAATCGAAGAGAGAAAGGTGGAAGAATGAAGAATTGGATGAATCTCGGACACTTCGAGACCTCATCGCACATCGAAGATTGAGAGATATGTGTTTGTGTGTGTTTTTTTAAACGTATCCAAAATGAATGCATGAAATCTGCGAGCGTGCCCGTAAAGGTACCTTGTCCATCTTCCGCATCCGCCGTACTGCCCTGGAGACCTGGTGTTCGAAGCACGAAGTAGACAAGTGTCACCTGGAGTCCGGAAGGGAAGAAAGGAAGAAAGCTCAATCGTGATCATGTTGGAAGCCATTGCTAGTATAGGTTGAAAAAACTAGACAAGGGAAAGGACAGAAAGGTCTAAAGTCGAGAGGAGCGCATCAGACCTTCAAAGACTGATGAACAGGAGCAAGGATGCTACTAGGAGTAAAGGGCATCGCTACTAGGAGCAAGGACGCTACTAGTAACAAACGAGAAACACCAAAAATTATGTTTGCTCTTGACAGGAGCGGGGCATGGAGGAAGAGGAGGAAGGTGAGGACATTCAGGCCGGTGATGTTAGAGGGATGGATTGAAGCCATTGGTTTTCTATGTATGTGCTTAGACTCTGTTGCTTTGTGTTTTTGAGTCTTCTAGTCAAGGGAGGAGAGGAGAAGCTGATAATGCTTCCCCTGTGTCCGAAGAATCGACATACTCCGTGTTTCGGAACTTCGGGAACCTGTGTTTTTCAAAAAGAACGACGGCAGAACTGCCAGGTGGTAGCCAAAGAGCAGGCCCATGCCAAGGCCATTACGCCATGAGCCCCAGTGGTCCTAGTGGTCCAGGCACACGGAGCCGTAGACTGGTCTCGTAGAGCTGGTAGCATTTGTTTCGAAACATGTGCCTTGTGTTGTCATTGTGTGAACAGATGTTGCTTAACAGTGAACAGCAAAGATTGCGAAACATAATCTCGGGTTCGAATTGCAATGCGGAATGACATGTCCTCTTTTCCAAACGTCCGTGTCTCTTCGAATTTGGTGGCAAACTCCAGGGAGTTCATGAGAGCCGATGCCCTTTGCTCGGTTCGTAGCGTCCTTGTTCCTAGTAGGTTGCGGCCAGTTTCGCCCCGTTCGAGTCGCTTGTTTGCTACGGCCTCTTGGTGTCTCCAAGGTCGATGTGTTTTAGCGCCGGAGGAGATCACATCATCACCAGCTCTTCAGATCCTCGGACGGACTGGACGATGGCCCCGCC